CTCTGAAATAAATAAATAATCCCATTTCGATTAATGTCACTTAAATTGGAAAAACTCCCTTATCCCTATCGCCCCATCGGGAAAAAGGAGGTGTGACATACGACACAATCAAAACTATATTAAATAATCAATATTCATATGAATAATAAAACCATCCAAATTGTATGGCAACGTTTTAACAACTCCTAAAAAGAGAAAAAATGCGTTCAATGTACATAAAACGTCTTTAAACCACCCCTAAGAAAATAAATTTCTTGTATTTCAACTTTTTGCTCTGCACTGTTTTAAGGATTGATACTTCGAACTTTCAAATTCTTGATCTGCTACACTTTACTCGTATATGACTTGTATTAGAACTACATAGCCTTCTTGATCAAATTGCCTCTAGTAGGTCCATGACAAAAGTGAACAAAATGTCAGATCTCATTATAACAAATTACAAATTAAGAAACGTAAATAATACTAATAATAATAAGGCTTCAATATCTTCTTTAATCAAACTGCTATACAAACTGGCTGCAAACTTCACCAAGGGACTTAAAAGACTCATTTAATTTCTTTTTACTGAGACACAAACAATTCCAAAATCATTTTGGTAATTCATTTTCTAAGACTTTTATGCAAATTCTGAATTTGTATTCTTTCTCATGGTTATTCCTTTTTTACTTCCTCATTGGAGAGATGACAATACCTTACAATTACAATTACTTATGATCTTAGAAGTTCTAAAGTACCTGCTTAGCAAAATACAGGACATATGAAAATACATCACGGTAGCAACACTAAATACTAGACTCTAATTGCTAATAATCAAATAAAACTAACTGAAAAATTCAGTTAGGATACCCTAACACAAGCCAAAAGGAAAAGAAGACTAATAATGTGAACATGCTCTCGATTTCCCCACTAAGGTAAGATTTGAACATAGAACAAATAATTTATCTTTATACTGTATATATCCGGAATCTAAAAATAAAGCCATCTCCCTTCTAAAATAAGAAAATAAACAAATAAACAAGAATCATCTACCTTTAGCGGAGCATGAGAAAGTAAGACTTTCAAGCTACTTCAGAAGATTAATACACAACTTCTAATTAAGTAATTCTCATTTAAAGCATCTGATGACAGTCTCAATCTCCATTAATGCAGCGAGCATAATAATTGAAAATACAAATATTATGAAACAAAAGATTAATACTACAAGGATTTTAGAGCATCGAGCATAATAATCCCCACAACCACTGAAAGAAACCAGATTAGTGAGTATGGGTGTCTAAAAGGATGAAATATTGGAAAGATTATTGGCGCGTGGCTGTAAAGATGGAAAAAGAGTGAGTCCAAGGTCTCACATATAATGTTCACAACCAGCAACAAACACAAGTTATTTGACATGCATCAAGCTTGAAAAATAAATCAAGAAAATGATGCTCTAAATCCTTACAGTAATAGCTTCCTCTGTTCCAGCTTATCTTCTTCGATGTCCGCCCATGAGTATACCCTCAATGGACACATTTAATGATCACGAACAAATACACCTAACTGTCTTGTAAATGAGGCGTGACGCAGAGGCGAATCCAAGATTTAAATTCTATGGGTTCAACCATTAAGGTTTTTAGCATTACATCATTATATTTTTAAATTTATGAGTTCATATTTACTATTTATTGTAATTTTAATAAATTTTTACACATAAATTTATACTCCACAATAAAAGCACTGGGTTCAGTTAAACCCGGTACTAGATGGCTGGATCCGCCCCTGGTGACGCTTCCCAACTACTTAGTAGTGGTAAATATACCTCTCAAGAAGCAAGGCTCAAATTGATACTCTGGTCACAGAATAATTTATCAAAATTTTAAAGCTAAAATATGATTCCATGGAGCTACAATCTCCTAGGATTCTTGTGAATCCAGTTAGAATTAGAATCAAATAGACGGGGAAGTATGATCAAAACTAGTTACTATGGGCATAGTTGATTGATGCGTATAAGTGACTTAGCTTTAAAATATATGAAAAGATCTTGGCCTTTTCAGGTCCATATATTGTCATCCAAATAACAGGAGGGTGCAGAATCTAAAACTAAATTCAGACTCCCAGCAGTTATCTCACGTGGATTATGTAAAGCAAAGATTGGGCATAATTAAAAAAAAATCCAAGTTTAAAGCAAGGCTCAAGGAACAATATAATTCATTACTCGGGGAGGAAACACAAAAAGAATTAAGACGTTCACTTTAAAGGAAGACAACGCAAGATTGGAAGAATGCTCAGAAGTTTAAACATCTAAAAGTGTTCCCCTTTCATGAGTTACTAACAATTTGTTTGATTTGTTTTCTTGTTGGTAATGTAAATAGCTCATAGAGCAGAAAATAAATGCATATTTTATATTTATCCCAACATTATATAAGAAATGCTACTCTGTTCAACTTTAACTTTACCACATATAGAGATTCAATTCCAAGTGGTTCTCCCATTATATTTGGTGAGGAAGGAGATTCTTTCGACACTTTTTAACTCATAATTGAGTCCCAGCGAGAAGAATGACGATGGCAATGACGAGCATTTTCAAACCATTTACTGACTTGTATATTTGACAAAAAGAAACTAAGAAAAAAGAAGGTAGCAGCGAAGCAAAATCGAAGATACAAGTGGAGAAAATGCGGACGAAGCTGAAATTAATATATGCCAGGGAGAACTCATAAAACCTGGTGAGCTGTTAGGCCTAATTCTTTACCCAACTTCTCATTTGCATCACGGTCAGGATACTGATTTTCCTTGAAGGATTCGTAGAGCCTCTGAAATCCCAAAAATAATTGAGCTGAAGTGGGGAAATGCATGAAAACTATCAAAGAATATGCTTTTAGTAAAGTAAAGAAATAAGTCGATCAATTGCTCTAAATCACAAACTAGGTGGGTCTGCCATATGAAACCTTCAGTCACAATTCGTTCTAAAACTAATCAAACTGTCTCTTCAAGCAAATTCAAAAAACCATGATATTCAAAACAAAAACAAAAATCATACACTCATACATCTTTTTAAAAATACTTTCTTTTAGAGGGCATTACTATATTAGGCAAGCAAAACTACAAATAAGTATTACTACTTTTTTTTTGGAGGCAATAAAAGAGTAAACAAGTTCTGCTTAATAGCTAATAAAGTTAGTTTATGATATCCATTGTATATAACTTATTCAAGGATGACATAACAATGACCTCCTACCTTCAATAGAAATTGTTTGTAATTTCATGGAAAGTAAGATGTTGTTGGACCTTTAAACACTGATCAGATATGTAAAAAGTTGGAACCAGAGTAAAGCCCACAATACCTTGATGGCACCTTCCCTATATGTTTTCTTTTTACCACTTGAATGAAGTTCAGAGGTGTCCATGCCTCCAATTTTGAGTTTCTCACAGAGACCCCTATCAGAAGCATGTCTACTCCCTTTTTGCTTCCCACTTTGGTACTTTGTGTCTACTAAAGTCGAACTAGGAGAAGTCATAGTAGCTTTGGCACTTCTGATCTCTCTCTCCTTGGGTGAAGGACCACCCTCAAAATCTTCATCACTAGAATCAGAAGATTCATTTCCATATGTTTCCTTCATATAAAAGTGGTCTGAGCAATCAACCCAAGCATGTGAAATATAAAAAGATAAGGAGCCACATTGAAGAATACACGTGCATATATGATCGATGAAATATGACATGCAAAGACATACCATTTCAATGAAATAAATCATTGTTTTTCCCGTATAATAGAACTTAATTTATGTTATACAATAAAGAAAAATAATATGTCCCATCGCAGATAATCGATTTTCTCAATCTTTCCTTAAAAATAGCAGTTAAGACTTCACATTTTAAACTCCATGATAATTTGCAAGCTCGACATTCAAACTTGGTTGTATCAGAGTAATTGTCCATCAGCTCTACCAGCTGAATCACATCATATGAAAGTTACAAGCCGTGTTTTGGAAGAAAAATGTCACTCTCTTTCTTTCCAAGAGATGACCTTTATATCAAGTAACCAACAAGGGAAAACAGCAAAGAAGGTAGGCTACTGGATTCAGTAAAATCGATACCTCAGCAAGCTAAACATTAGTCATGCACCTCTTTCAGAGTTGAAAGAGTAACAACAGTTCACTATAATGACAAGTGCTTGACTGCTTTTACAACTTAAGCACCTATTATAATGATCAATCGAGGGAAAAAAATAAACTAATCATTTCCGCAAATACTAGACAACAATTCTCTATAGGAGATTTTGAAAAATTAAACAAAGTAAAAAGAGCCATCACAAGATTTGTTGCTACAAGTTGTGAACTAGAAACATAACAATTAAGTGAAGCAAAAACTCAAATACAAAGCTGATATCTAAAACTCAAAAGAAATACCTTTATAAGGTAACACCAAAACAATGCAAATTACTGTTAAGCTTCGATCGTCAAAACCACTGCCTAATTTTCACGCATTGAGATTTATCCTTCTAAGGCTCTAAATTTTTGAGAACCCAACTGGAGAACGACTGAATCTTTTACTCAACACAAAGAAAAACAGAAGTCATGTCATGAAGAAGGAGAAAGCAAGAGAAAAACACAAATGAAAAGCAGTAGAATAGATAGAGATGATGATATGGTGATTACACATTGAAACTAACCATTCCACAAATTTATATTTCTTAAGCCCAGATTAAAATAATCAAAAAATTCTTAAGCCCAAATTAAGATAAACTGAATTCGATCTTACAACAAATTCTTGATTCTAAACCGACCATGCCGTAATTTTTGAACACCAACATCACCAAAGTGAAAACCAAATCACAACCCTATTAATTTGAACCAAAATTAAAATATAAAGAGAGTAAATTTTCAAATCTTACCTTGATGAGAAGAAACTCTAAGATGAGCAGTTGATGCCGGCGGAGGTGACAAACGTTTTTCTCTTTTCCATAAATTTTTTATAGCAGTTTCAGATTTTGATCAGCAGTAGACTAAGGGTCTTTTTGGAGGGGGAGTGGGGCGGACGTAGGGTGAGTTTGGGGGAAAAGAGGGAAAAGATAGCTCCTATTTTTTTAATTGATTAATTATATTTTTTAACGACCGGATATTATTAATTAGTTAATGTCAAACTAAAAATTGGCTTTAACGACATGAAAAAAGGTTGGTCGCTATAAATACATCAATAACGACCAGATTAATATCCCTTCGTTAAGAAGTGGTTATTAAAAAGTATATTTCTTGTAGTGTGCATTGCGTGGCTGTAGGCGCGGATTCAACTTTTGAAATTTTTTCATTTTGCGAAGCGATTCGTGCGTTCGCTCCACTTTACTGTTTTGTGCATTCAATTGTCTCCTTTTTCGTGTCCGCTTTCGTGCCATGGGGGAGAATGGACGAGCTCCCGGTTCTTCCACCTTTTTCTTTTTGCAACAAATTGAGATCTTTTGATCAAATATCATCAAAACTCGTTACTACACATAAGAAACACGTAATGAACATATTTTACTTCAAAAACTTCCACAAAAAATAATATGCAAATATACTAAAAACATGCACTTTTCATTATTTATCTGCTATGCAATACGGGTGTCCATGAAACTCTAGTAAAGTAGTCCATGTTTCGCACGATTGTGAAACACTTTAATGAATTTTGAAATAAGTTTTTTATAATTTAATCGAGATAGAAGAGTTAGTATCTCCTATAGCAGTCGAATCCGAGCAGTCTTCGCTAAGCTCCGCTAGGACCAACACAAGGATCTGCACAAGAAGTGCAGAAGTGTAACATATGTACAACCGACCCCATGTACTCTGTTAGTGTCGAGTCTAACCTCGACAAAATAGTGACGAGGCTATAACAAGACACTCACTATAAACCTGTACAAATTATAATAATATAACACAGAAATAGAAATAAAACAGTAAACTCAAAAAAACGAACCCGAAAGTCAAATACCAGAGGGCCCCAGAATAACATGATCTCAAATCTCATATCACAATACTGATATAAAACTCTACAACTACAGACAACCACAACACATCAACTCTGTTACGGCGCGCAACCCGATCCCAACAGTTAATACAATAACTATTGCGGCGTATATCCTGATCCAAAGATTTAATACAATAACTGTTGCGGCGTGCAGCCCGATCCCAATACTTAACACAATAACTATTGCGGTGCGTAACCTGTTCCCAATATCAATTCATTAACATAAAAACTTAACACAACTAGTTACGTAATCTTAACATAAAAGGGAAATAAACAAGCAGAACATTAAGGAACTATCAGTTCAAACAGAGAATAACCAATACCTCGTATTCATAACTTTCTACAAGTCACCGATGCAATATTAGCTAAAGAACTCTCAGAACTCGGAATAACATAATAAAGTGCAACAAGTAGTTCAAAGGCAATAAAGGCACGTAAGACATGAAACAATAAAGATATACAATTAATTCAGATAGGGTCATATAGCAGGTAAGCAGATATTGAGCAAGAAATGAAGAAATCAAACAAGCAACAACTTAAATAACAGATAACAAGTAAGACATGGATAATAAGTAAGATCATGTAGCAATCAAAGCATATAACAAGAGATAACATGGAATAAGTGATAATATAAAGGTAAATAGCTTAACCCACATGTTATAACCCGTGACAATGAATATACAGTCGTCACTTTACATATACATTATTTTCCTATATAATTCACATAACAAGCAGACGAACAAGTCCTAAATCTCTCAAGTCGAAGTTAGATACGACACTTACCTCCTTGCACAACCAAATCAACAACCAACCACGACTTTTTCTTTCGAACAAGCCTCCAAACCAGCCAAATATAACCAAATATCGCTCGAACAATTCAAAATAAACTTTAGAAACTACCCACGAATGAAAACGGCTCAATCTTTGATGAAACTAAAAAAGTCAACAAAAGTCAACCTCGGGACCGCTTGGTCAAAATTCGAGATTCGGACCAAAATCCGATTATCCATTCACCCCCGAGCCCGAGTATGTGATTTGTATTTAAATTCGATCTCAATTTGAGATCTTAATCCAAATTTTGCAAAATGCCTAAATTTTACCCAAAACTCCTAATTTCTACCATGAAAATCCTCGATTTGATGTTAAAAACTCATGAAAAGTAATGGGGAATTGAAAGAAAGTGGATTAGAGTTGCTTACCAATAATTTTGGGAAAAACTCTCAAGTAAATTGCCTCTAGAGTGTTTAGGGTTTAAAAAATGGTGTGAAATGAGCTAAGTCCCGATTTTCTCCTCTTTTACTCAGACGTAGGTATTGCAATTACGAACTCTTGTTCGTAATTGCGACAATCGCAAATACGAAACACTGGTCGCAAATGTGAACAGTGCCCCCAACCTTCTAAAGTCGCAAATGCAACAAAAATATCGCATTTGAGATGCACTCCTTTATCGCAAATGCAGTCAAAGGTTCGCAATTGCGAACCTGACTAAGTCTGGTGCCCAGTCGCAAAAGTGACCAAGCATTTGCAAAAGCGATCTGGTGATGTCCGCAATTACGAACATCTCTTTGCAAATGCGAAGACTGCCTTGCCTAGCCCATTTTCGCAAATGCGAGCTCGACTTCGCAAAAGCGGAGTTTGCATTTGCGAATAGGTCCTCACAAGTGCGAGACCTGCAGATCAACACCATAAACTAAAGCACACTAGCTATCTCAAATCATCCAAAACTTATCTGATACACACCTGAAACTAACCCAAGCTCCTCGAGCTTTAAATCAAACATGCACACAAGTATAATAACATCATACAAAATTGTTCGCTACGTCAAATCATCAAAATAATATCACATAACATGAATCGATCATCAAAACATATGATTTCAACTTGAAAACTTATTTTCACTATATTTCACATACCATGCCGAAATGCGCTCGGGTTACCCCGGACCCCAACCAAAAGTGCGTACAATTCCAAAAATATCATACGAACCTACCAGAATCATCAAAACACCGATCCAAGGTCGTTTACCAAGAATGTTGACCGTGATTAATCTAAAAATTATTTTAACCTAATTATAGTCAATCTACATAATACAAAAGATACTTATAATCAATAACCCATTTAGTTCTCATCTTTCTAGTTCAAGTTGTAAAATACGCATTCCAATCAATATCTTAATCGTTGAACTTTAAAGAGATTCTCTATAGCTAACAAAAAGTAAGTAATCCTTCTTTTTTTAAATAATGACACTATTTCATATTAGTTTGTTTAAAAAGAAAATCACTTTTAAAATTTGAAAAATTAAAAAGGAAAAGAAACTAGAGCTGATAGCCTAATATTTCTGTGTCTCGTTGAAAGATAATTCACCCAGCTAAAAAACATTAGTTTGCCAAATCTTGTTAACGATAAAAACTTCGACGGAATGCACTTTGTAGAGGAGGGGATAAAAAGGATATAGTGTTAGAAGGCAAATATAACCCTTTGCCGATACTAACATCGTTAAATTAAACTACTGTCAATGCAGGGACTAAAATCACACATTTATGTTAATTGAAGGTAAAAATTTCTAAGTATGTAATATGTGGACTAAATCATGATTAAGTAACAAATACAGAAAACAAAAATACTATTTTCCTTACCAGATTAGTACCCCAACCATGACTTGCGCCATGTAAATAGCCATATCCATACTACTGGTTGGCGGAGAATTTTGCATTTCCACTTGTGAAGAGAAAATAAAACATTGNGTAATAGCTTGCTTTGCCTTCAAGTAAATCAACTCAATACAAGGCAAAATGACTCCATATAAAGCTGCTGCGAGAAGTGTCATCATAAAACCAAGAATATAGGCTTTACTAGTCACACCCTCTGGCCTATCACCATTAGATCGAACACCTAATAAAACAGCACCAACTGTCAGCAGAACCACTGCATTGATAGAGTAGGGTGTGAATTTCAGCTTCACTATGAAGAAAGCACCTACTGCCGTGAATGCAAGTTGAGCAGCAAGAAGAAGTGAAGAGGTTGATACGGGAAGTTTTGACCCGCCCCACGAATAGAGAAAATCATCAAGACCAGTGACAACACCAATGATGAATGATGCAATGAAAATTCGAGGTGTTATCAAGTAATACTTGGCATTAATGCCTTCGGTTTTTCGACGATAGAAGTATAGGATGGCAAGAGGTATAAGGGTGAATGGCCATCCAGCCGTTTGTAACCAACTGCTAAACCAAACTCTTGAACCTCCCTCGACATAATATAGACGCATCATTAGAGGACCACCGCATATACCCACAGCTAGTATTAAACAATTAATCAACAGGAGGATTCTCCTCATAGTGGTGCTTAATCCTTGATTTTCCATACTTTTTTGCAAGCGATTTGGATACTATGTTGGAGTAGTCTGCTGCTCAGGCTGAATGGACTTCTTCTTCTACTACTAAGGTATGGAATTTTGGATCTGTTGCGGTGCTGAGATCTGTACTCTGCTATTTATAAATGAGAAACATCTTAGTACATTCCCATGATTTGTTTCACGTCATGGAGTGGCCCCACTTTAAGAAGGCTTTCTTCTGATTTAATTAATTGCAGTACTAGAAATTTTCATATGATTCACAAGGGAAGGATATAACAATTAAAAAATATTAGAGCAAAGACCAAAAAAGCAATGATTGTGAGTAGATTTGTTGTTAAATTGCAACGTTGAATTTCTAGGAAAAACTATTAGCGGACCATGGACTGTGCCGTGTAAATAGCCTTGCCTATTCTACTGGTTAGCGTTGAATTTTGCACTTGCACAAGACAAAAATATGGATTAAAATTAATAAGGATGGGACAAACGTGGGTTTAGCTAAGAGTTGAATAATTATCAGTGGGTAGGTAGAACCTTGCATTTCCACCTGTGAAGAGAAACATATGAATAGTCACCCATAAACTTAACGTGGGTTTTAGTTAACTTTATTCGAATTCAATAAATATGATTAGCCCCTCATATGCCAACAATAACAGTTTTTCTTATATGAAAGCGTGCCGAGAACCAGAAAGGATTCAGACCTCTCCAGTGATATGGGCACTTTTAAATCTGCAACACCTGTCCAATTTAAAATTCAATGTTTCAGTTGGCCACAAATAACTGTTAGACATGTTTACAACACGACAAAAAAAAAAGACAGGAATTAAGAAAAAGAAAATCAAAATTGGACGGCTTCTCGATTTTTTTTTTAGTGTTGTTAGGACCGAAAAAAATCAGGTATTATGCGTAAGCTGGTAAAGCAAACCTTGAACGATGATAAATCATACCACAAAAGAAAAATCTACCAAAAGAGATGTAAACATTTAATGTGGTTCGGTCAGTTGACCTACGTCCATAACGGAGATGAGCAATCAACTATAATAAAAGAGAGTACAAAATATCGAGAGAACAACCTCACGAAGAGGCAAACACAAGTGACACACTAAAACTTGTCCCGTAAAGTTCTCCCCCTAAATACAACTCTCAAACCCCATATGGCTACATTTGTGGATGCTAATGAATGAGAAGGAAGGATCCTCAATTTATAGAGGTCTAAAACATTTTCCTACAAGAAAAGGACTAGCTAAATATGGAAGATTTATAATTTTCTTCTACAAGAAGAAAAATCCAATTATGATAAATATGTTGCCCTTTCTTTTGAGAGATAGGGAAACCAAATATAGTAAGAAAATAAGGACAAACACCTAACAATGTGCTTAAGAACACCCGACTGTCAAGATTGAGCTGATCATCAATATTGTAACTTTGAAAATATTAGCTATTGATCACGTCCAACTTTAGTCCTAAAAAGGATAAGTGGTCACTGCAAATATATTCCGATCTAAGAGTTCGGAGTCAAATTCTACAGAGAACTAAGGTTTAACTACAACTGTTCACTATCAACATGAAGACAAACTCGAGCAATTTCTAAAGTTATAAATATAAAGGCTCTTATGTCTAACTAATTAATTAATTTAAACCAGAGATACTAAGGGTTGAAGACAAGATTAAGGGGCCTAGAGTTATGATTTCACCAATTGTCGGAATCCTTCCAGCTACGTCTCCTATAATTTTGCCTAAGTATTCTTTACTGATCTTGATCACTTCATGTATCGTAATTCTCTCCCGAGCAACTACAACAATTTACTAGACATATTCTCTTGAACTACACTAGCTACCTGGCACTATCTTACCGCTCACTATGATCACATCAAGGCTTTGTTATTCATAAACCCACCGTATTAATTTCTCACATACGTTAGGAGTGACGTTGTTCAACAACCACCTAAATATGTACTCTTTCCCAAATAATACATAATAAATAGGCACAATCAATTGATGGCCATTCAATCAACAACAATAAATACGTAGTTGAACAAGTAGAGAAATTCAAAGGCTCAATTATATAAAAACATAACAAGAATTTATCCTACAAAATGTTCCATCAGAACCCTAGATAAGAGATTAGCTATTAATAATAGTATGTAAAACTACAATACTAAAATTTATGACTAATAATGGAAATTGAAAGAAGAAAGGAAAAACTTATTGTCGAATCTTCCACCTTGCTCCTTGCGTGTTCCTCCTCTCCAAATTCTTCTCTAACCCTAAAGTACTGTCTCGATCCCCGCTTCAAAAGGACTCTTTAGGATATATTTATATCAATTAGGGGTTGTATGGGGCAGAACTAATCAATACAATCTCGGATAGGAAAGCTAGAATTCACATCAACTTTCGTGCATTGTGTGACTATAGGCGCGGATTCAACTTTTGAAATTTTTTCATTTTGCGAAGCGATCCGTGCCTTCGCTCCACTTTACTGTTTTGTGCATTCAATTGTCTCCTTTTTCGTGTCCGCTTTCGTGCCATGGGCGAGAATGGACGAGCTCCCGGTTCTTCCACCTTTTTCTTTTTGCAACAAATTGAGATCTTTTGATCAAATATCATCAAAACTCGTTACTACACATAAGAAACACGTAATGAGCATATTTTACTTCAAAAACTTTTGCAACTCACACAAGAAATAATATGCAAATATACTAAAAACATGCACTTTTCATCATTTATCTGCTATGCAATACGGGTGTCCATGAAACTCTAGTAAAGTAGTCCACATTTCGCACGATTGTGAAACACTTTAGTGAATTTTGAAATAAGTTTTTTATAGTTTAATCGAGATAGAAGAGTTATTATTTCCTTATGTATTTCCATATAAAATAATTCTATCTTGGCGACATTACAAATAAAAATATTTTTAATTGAATTAGAGCTTAGATGATTTATAAGATTTTCTTTAAACACGATGAAAAAGAAAAAGAACTTTAAAGGAATTTTTTTTACTTATAGATGTGTTAATATACGTGGTTTAATACATGATTCTCTAAGTGTAGCATATATATTAAATATATGTATATAGGTATTTTTTTTTTTATTTGATCCTAAAATAATAAAATAATGTAAATCTCTTAATGAAGTCTACAAGCAAGAACAAAAATAGAGTTACGAGTTTATTTTCAATTGAAACGAAAAACAAAAAAAAGCTGATCGCGGATGACATTAGTTTGCCAAAGCTTGTTAACGATGAAAACTTCGATGGAATGCACTTTGTAGAGGGGATAAAAAGGATATAGTGTCAGAAGGCAAAATTACAGTCAATGCAGGGACTAAACTTACATATTTATGTTAATTGATGGTCAAATTGCTAAGTTAAATAATATGTGGACTAAATAATAATTAGGTAACAATACAAAGACCAAAAATACTATTTTCCATCTAGAATAGTACCCCAACCATGACTTGCGCCATGTAAATAGCCATATCCATATATACTACTAGTTGGCGGGGAAATTTGCGTTTTCACTTTTCTTGAAACCATTTTCCACTTGTGAAGACAAAAATGGAGTGAAATAAACAAATTGGGTTTTAGATAACATTGCTTTTTAAGATGGAATACATATTGAAAATAGAAGAAAAGTGCTCATTTCAGTTGAATAAATTTCTCGTTTCATCATTAATGAATAATAAGTATTCCACAAAATAACATACATTATTTTCTACAAAAAATAAAAACTATTTATTTATATAGCCATGATTAATAGTAAATCAAACAGACTCGATATGCGTCGTTGTCATCTCAGTTTGTGGACTTTTGTTCTTCTGCTTCTTTGTTTGTCTGAACTCTCCATAAAAGTAAGAAACGAAACCCCAAAGAGAAAGGAAAAGAGCAAGGCCCTTTTCACCTGAAAAATTTTCTCTAAAGAAAACTACAGCTAATACCTCAGTAACAGGAAGTAGAACTGCGATCATAACCCCAGACATCAAAGAAGAAGAGCAGTAAATGACTCCAATGACACCCACAAAGAAGCACTGCCAAACAATGGTAGTCCACACTACTACTGTATAATATCTAGCTTCTCCAAGGTTAAATTGTTTTGCCTCCCTTGATATTGCCTGCAAATTTCAATCAATTTCTTAGTCGTTGCTCTTTAAAAAAAAAGATTGTCTATAGCTAAGACAAAATTGAAACCTTGGAAGTATCTATATATGATACAAAACTTTTAGGTAAATCTATTCGAATCCAGTATATTACATCCAGCTTTCATATACTTTCTATATGTCTTCAGTCAACCATGTCAAGAGTCTTGATCCCTCTATGTGGGATATGAATAATTTAGGGTTTCTACTGCTAAAGTCAAACTCACAACTCATTACATGCTTTTGTTCTCTCTTGTCATTAAGATCAGCAAACTTTATTGGAAATGAAATAAGGAGAAATAAATGAAAAGAGAAAAAAAAAGAAAAAAGAAAAAAGAAAAAAGAAAAAAGAAAAAAGAAAACAAAAAGAGAGGTTTCCAACGAATTTAAGAAATCCTAAAAGATGGACTATTGATGTTAGTGAACGCCAATAGATCATCACCTAAAGAGAAGTTGATAGACTGGTCATTTGAAGGCCTTAGGGATCTAATGGCAATTAACACCAAACGAGAGTCGAGAAACATATATATTACGATCTCTTTTTTAATTTATGTGACATAATTTGTGTCTCGAAATTTCAAAATGAAAATAAATTTATGAAACTTGGGTTTTAAGCATATTTTATAATATTTGTGTATCTTTTAGACTTTTCAAACTTATGATTTTAGCATTGTGTGGCAGTAAAAAACTTCTTAAAACTAGTAGTTTAAACATAAACACCTTTCAACTGTAAAAATGAACTATTATTTTATTTGTATAGACTAAATATAGAAAAGATTTAAATTATTCACCCTTCTACCGTAAAGTTCATTTACATTTCTAACTAGTAATAACACGTCGATTGCTCTTTTACCACGTTATCAATAAATTATAAAAATATAAAAAAAATAAAATGTGATGGAGTGAGTAAGATGCATGGGCAAAAATGAGCTATAGGGGAAGAAAGAATTACCTTAAAGTCGTTATTAACAATCATTCCTACGGTGCAAAAAGCAGTAGCAGCAAAACACATGACCATCTGAATCTCCAGCACCAACGTAGCAGTAATAACTTGTTTTGCCTTCAAGTAAATCAACTCAATACAAGGCAAAATGACTCCATATAAAGCTGCTGCGAGAAGTGTCATCATAAAACCAAGAATATAGGCTTTACTTGTCACACCCTCCGGCCGATCACCATTAGAACGAACACCCAGTAAAACAGCACCAACTGTCAGCAGAACCACTGCATTGATAGAGTAGGGTGTGAACTTCAGCTTCACTATGAAGAAAGCACCTACTGCCGTGAAGGCAAGTTGAGCCGCAAGAAGCAGTGAAGAGGTTGACACAGGGAGTTTTGACCCGCCCCACGAATAGAGAAAATCATCAACACCAGTGACAATGCCAATGACGAATGACGCAATGAAAATTCGGGGTGTTATAAAGTAAAACTTGGCACTAGAGCCTTCGGTTTTTCGACGATAGAAGTATAAGATAGCAAGAGGTATAAAGGTGAGTGGCCATCCAGCAGTTTGTAACCAACTGCTAAACCATACTCTTGAACCTCCCTCCACAAAATATAGACGCATCATTAGAGGGCCACCGCAGATACCAACAGCAAGTATTATACAATTAATCAGCAGGAGGATTCTCCTCATAGCGATGCTTAATCCTTGATGTTCCATACTTTTTTTCAAGAGATTTGGATAATAAGTTGGAGTGATGGTCTTTTTCTGCAAAGGTTTGGATTATTGGACCTCTTGCAGTGATGAGATCTATTTATAATTGAGAAATCTTAGTACATCTCCGCGATTTGTTTCACGACATGGAGTGGCCCCAGTTTAAGAAGGCTTTATCATGAATAGATTAATTGCAGTTCTAGTAATTTTCATATGATTCACAAGGGAAATGATATATTAATATAAAAAATATAAAAGCAATGATTATATTTTGTTATGAAATTGCAGCGTTGAATTTCTAGGAAAAGCAATGGACTGTACTGTGTAAATAGTCCTTGCCTATGCTACTGGTTGGCTTATAATTTTGCATTCGCACTTGCGAAGAGAAAAAAATTGATTAAAATTAACAAGGATGCATGGGGCAAACGTGGGTATTATATTAGGTAAGAATTGAATAATTATGAATAGCCCCCTATATAATGGATTTTCTTATATGAAAGCGTGTCTAGAACCAGAAAGGATTCAGACCTATCTCCAGTGAGGTTCCCCTCCGTTTCGTCTATATGCACTTTTAAATTTGCCACACCTGTCCAATTTAAATTCAATGGTTCAACTGCCACAAATAGATGTGAGACATGCTTACAACACGATAAAAAACAATTAAGAAAAAGAAAATCAAAATTGGATGGCGTCTTGGTTTTTTGTTTGATTCATGTGCCAAAAGACACAAGACAGTCAAGACTGAGCTGAGTAAGCTCTTTTGCATGCAACAGAAACTTTTTATATTATTTCTTGTTTTGTTAAATAGGATTGATACCCTGTAGAACAAACTTACCATACAAAAGGTTGGTACAAACCTATTTTTTCGGTACAAAAAGGTTGGTATTAACGACAAAGGTGTATTGATTAGGGGTATGACACCATTTTCAGAATCAACGTAGGAAAATTCGTGGTGATTTGATATCTATGGTCCTTTAAAAGTTAAGCCAAAAGGAAAATTGCACAATGGCTCTCAATTTATATGTTTCTTAAGAAAATACGTAATTGGAGTTTTATATGTCAAAACTAAAGTACACAAGAGGGGGAAAAATGCTTACTTTCACGCCTCAAAGCTGGAGGAGCGAGACATGGCACCTGATGCTTTAAAATTTGTGACCGAGAGAATCAATATCAATTTTATTATTTGACTTCAACAATGCATGCTTCATGATAAACAAATTCTAAAAATATTTTAGAATTATTAATGTTCGGCATAATAGCTATTGAAAACTTTATACATACCTTAATGAATACAATGAAAATGCTCTATACATAAATACATGACCCCTGTAGTGTATATGGAACTTATATAATAATGATTACCTAAGTGCATAAAATAAACTAGACTAGAAGGTACCACATAAACAGTAGCGGGCTCACTATAATAGCCAGAGAAGAGAGGGAGAAACCTATATAGTAAATATCCATATCATTTTGAATCATAATACATGCATCCACGAAGAGATCTAGCGTCACCGAGCAAGTATGTGAGTACAAAATCACAAGTACTCAATGCGCATCATATACCCCCTCAATTATAAAGTGAGTCGAGATTTTTTGGAAAGACATGGTAAGATCATATTCAATATCAATTCAATAAATATATTTCATAAAAAACTCAATTCAGCAATTAAAATTATTTCGTAATTCATAATTAAGTTTGAAACTTTAAACAAACTCTTATATTTCGTAGGAGTCCTTGATCACTGACATAATGTCCAGGGGCGGCCCAAGGGTCAAGCCACTAAAGCAAAGGATTTAGGTTCCAAATTTTTCATTTATTTTTTTACTCGTATTTGTATTGAGACCCCGACTAATCTAGACTCGTACCGCGTAAGGCCTAATAAAAGAGAGAACACGTTTTAACGGGATTTGTTTAACTACACGACTCGAACCCAATATATCTAATTAAGGTAAGTTGGATCAAATACATCTCACAACAATTTTTAGAGGTAGAGTCTAAATATATTGGGTATATTAAAATAAAAAATAAAATATTTTATAAAAAGTCAAGATAACTTTTAATTTAGTAGTGATGTAACCGTTTGAGCAAAAAATAGAAAAAGAGAATCACTCTCCCTAAACCCTTGTCGCGGATATAAAACTTTTCATTATTTAAATTTTACGAGTGATATCATTAGTGAGGTATCTATATGAATTTGGTTCTATTATCTAAGATCAACAATATCTTAGGAGAGACTAAATTATTTATAAAAGAAACTATTAACAACTTATGTTAGGCCAAAACTCTATACTTTTAGCACATTACTAGCCCTATATTTTGTTGGTTTAAGTGAGTTATTGTGCGACAATTGCGCTAAATTGTGTTGTTCTATGTGTAGGAACATCGGAATGAATCATTGATGTTATGATAATTCTGTTTTTCCTTCTGAAAGGCCCCAAATTAAAAATTAACTTTAGGCCACCAATCTTCTTGGGCCGCCCCTGATAATGTCTATCACTATGTGTATATTCATGGAAGTCGAGCACCTATCCCATATTGACTAGGCGTCTCCAGAAGAATACCTTGTGATTTCGACAATTTTGTTAGCAATCATAATCCCATCCAAGGAGACCCAAATCACGGATGACTATTTAATTGTGCAAACTAATGTAATTACGATGACACTGGTACATGTAGCTTTGGGTATTTGACCCTCCTTTGCAAGTATTTTCTTAGTTATCTAAGAATACTCCCAAAATATTTTTATATCATTTGGCACCTTTCGCCATTTCAAATTTGTCACAACTCAAATACCACCAAGACAGTGATGGTACCTAGCTAACCTAACTACTAAGCCTGTTAAAATTGAAAATAATCATGAAACGAGATAATATAATAATGTCTTACAGTCATAATATGAACAAAGTGCAATAATTGATCTGAGACAATATGGAATACTAAATACAACCCCCTGGTAACTAATAGCACAATTCATGAATCGTCTAAAGGAGTAACATAACAATACAATTGTCTGCCTCGAGTACATATACTGTCTTGAGTAAAGAACAACAAAAGAAAGATAGAACGTGACCCCAATAGCTACGAACAAAGCAAGATCGGGACCCACAATTGTGGACCTCGAAGAGTGCCTAACACCTTCTCATCGAGGTAATTTCGAGCCCTTACCCGATCTCTGGTGATGCAAACTAGTCAAACCTGAGTCATATGCAAATAAGTTCCCTAACACACCTTAAACCGTTAGGTGGTGACTCTCCGCTTTTAATACATCCTTAAAAGAGTTTTCACATGTCGAAACCCGATTTCGCGAGAAAAAGGGGCGCGACAGCATGGCGACTCTGTTGGGGACTTACACTTAGGCTCTTACCATAACAAACTTGGCTCATGTGAATTAGTCTCCTCTGATAAACGTGTTTCCTTGTTCTTTTATTATTTTGTTGCTACATGAATATCCCGCCCCTGTTTTCTTTTTTTAATTGCTTCATGCACACCCTTTCCATTATTCTACCTCTATTTGAATTCGTATGCAAATCCCTTCACTTATTTTCCCTTCTTTTTCTCAAATTGGCTCTAACATGCGTGTTCCTTTTTTAGTCGTACTTATTTTTTCCAAGTCGCCTTTTAAATTGCTACAACATGCCTCTCCCCACCCTTACTCCCTCGCTTACTTTATTACAACTTCTGCATTACGCGAACTAACTTCTTCTTGTTTTCCTTTCTTTTCATGTCTTTACGTTTCGTTTTAATACTGCATTTAAACATGCAACATATTTGAAAACGTGTTGTTTATCTTTACATAAAGCATGCTCCACATCATATTCTACTCGTGCCCAATTAATACCATAGCCGGCGCTTGATGAGTATCCGCGCTCTTCCGAAATCACCCTTTAAATTTGGAAAGGCTTATTTGCAGTAAAACTAGTCGATCAGCGGTGCAGTCGATGGTTCTGTGCCTTTCCCTCTCAAGTTGTCCGCTTGAGAGTACCTGTCTAAACTTTTCTAGAAACTCCACTCTAATATTAACTGTACATGCATCATGTCCAAACCTAGCATGGGTTAGAATGCTGTCCACGTGATAACCCGCTAACGCAAGCCGTGTCCAAAGTCCGCCGGAATTTCCGTAATCCCAATGGATACCATCACGATATGTGCATTATTTGGAGAAAACATGACTGTATGCCGATCATTAATGGGTAAATAGTCAAATTAGGAGGGGAAAAGGGCTAACTTTATTTGTTTTGCACAAATGAGGCACAAAGTCTCCAGGTTCGACATGGTTCAAAATATCCCATCTTTGCTGCTAGATTGGTGAAAAAACCTCTCACCATGTGACAAAAACCATGTAAAAAGAGTCCTCGGGAATATGTTATTAGACATTCAGCCAAAAAATGCATTAATTGAGGTCGCCACCATGTTTTGGGATGATAAGAGAGTCATCTTCCATTTTGGCGACATAGAAATGACTCCTCTTTTAGAGAAAATAGGAGGCTTCGCTGGACTACCATGGGATAGCCTTGATTTGTTGGTATCGGAAAACCGTACTTCCCGAGGTTTCTTGAAAATGATGGGTTTCAAGAAAAATGATGAGATACTATGTCTGAAGAAGTCTTATATACCATTTGAGTTCCTTTATGAGCATTATGGGCACAGCAAGTCATATCGCCTTTACCATAATGAACTTGCCATTACCTCTTTGGGTGGGACACACCGCCAGGTTTTCGTATTCATTGTCTATTTTTTGGGAATGTTGATATTTCTGATGAAGGGAGAAAGGATCCACACTCGCCTAGCTATGGTCGCTAGGACTTTAATGGAGGGAATTGAGGGGAAAACTTACACCATTGTCCATATGATCTTGGCTGAGATGTATCGGGCTTTAGATCATTGCAAAAAAAGGGTATAGGCACTTTGAGGGTTGCAATCTGTTGCTGCAGGTATGGTTATTAGAACACTTTTAGAGAGGTGAATTCCGTCAAGAACTTCCGCGACGACCATGGAATGACCACATGGCCTATCATCATCCGAAGAGAATGATTTTTATCCCAAACAGGTTTGCACAACCAGGAAATATTGTGAGCTGGGTACGTTTCTTCAGCAATTTTACTGATGAAAAAGTGCATTGGATGTTCG